AGTGTCGAATCCTTTGTTGGCCACTAACAAACTTCCATACATATTAACATAATACCCAAAATATCCCTTTATAAGATTGTGCTAGCAACCAAAAGGATAAATCAAAGTAGATTGTAATATGCACAAAGTTACCATTGTGCCTCAAGTCTAAGGATCAATCATGTACTATTGTAACATGAAAATCCTTATTCGACAAGATAAATCTTTCATTAAGAATTTTCATACGGTCATGTTCAGTGAACTTGTTCTCTAACAAGCACCCACATCTATGTACTTGTGTCCCACGCTAATGTTGACGGAATGCAACATTCTTGTCTAAACAAGCATACATACTATGTGCAAGTCTTTTATGGATTATTCGATATCCCTTTTCGAAACATCCATCGACTTGGAACTATATTTAAGATCACGACTTTGAAGGTATGTTCCATGATCACCATCTCTATGCGCAACCATACCTTATAACCATATGTGATCTAGGGATTTTATCTTAAGTGCAATTATAGGATAAATGCTTACTCTTAAGATAAAGAAATGTCTTATTAATAATATAATTCCAATAGATCGTATTTACAAGTAGAATACGTCCAATCAAATTGGAACGCCGGGTATACTACTCTAACAGTCGGCCCATTAGAGACTGAATGCAAACGACAGCTCTCAGATGGAGAAGACACCGAGGTCTACAAACGAAGGGCGAGGGCCGTTATACTCTGGTGCATAGGCTCGTTCTTCTTCCCCGACCAGCGGGCGAACGGACTCAACCTGTACTGGTTGGATATGCTGCACGACATTGATCAAATTAAGGGGTACAGCTGGGGTGCAGCGGTCCTCGTCGGATTGTATAGAGCATTGTGCACAGCCTTCGAAGCCGGGCAAGGCTGGATGAAGGGATGTGTGCAATTGCTTCAGGTACATTTATTTAGTTGTTATTTAAAAATTCATTTTTTTTTATTCTGACTAATATCTAATACAAAAAACGCATATGTCGATATGTGTAGGTTTGAGCATGGGAACGCATCCCTCGCATTCGCCCAACAATGAAGTAACATGCGCTTTGATTCTGTACGTGGTTGTTCCTTAGGAGCACAGTATGAATATTTATTTATATTTTATTAAGTTTTTTCATTATTAATTTTTCTAATTACAAAGTTATTTTTCTGTGATTTTTAAGGTGGGTGAGAAGAAAGAACATGACGCACCTAGCCAAGGGAACGGCCGCTATCCGGGATCAGCTGACATGGCTGAGAGAGACGGATGTAAGATTTTTAAGTTCTATATATTAACTTATCTTTTGTTTTTTATTGTTTTGAAATTTTTGCTAATTTAATTCTTAGTAATTCTTAATTCATTTTTTTTCTTTTTTTTTTTTCAGTTCGATTGGATGCCTTATGTACAGCTCCTCGAGGATTCGTCAACTCTCCCGGACCAGTTTACAGAAGATCAACAAGTTTGGATGTACAAGGGGCCCATCTTCTGCTGGAACATCTGTGAGCCCCACGAGCCTGATAGGGTCCTCCATCAGTTTGGATGTTGCCAGTCCATCCCCCAGCTCCGATCATTAGGGATGTGGCCCAATGGGAGACATTCCATCGAGGCTAGGGAATGACTGGGAGGGCATATACTGATTGGGCCGCCTTTCATTCCGAGCTTGGGAAGACTTGGGCCGAAAATAGAGATCAAAATGTCCTCCCACATCAACCGGTGGATCAGTCCTAGAGCCTGAGGACGGTTACATTGATTGGTTTCATAGAAGGACTATGATACTGATCAGTAACCCTAACAACTATTCGACGGTGCAACAAGACGGCGGCTATCAGCCAATGACCGAGCAGGCAAAGTGTGACGTAAGTTCTTAAATTGTGAATTTTATTACTATTATTATGATTAGTGTTTATAATATTATTAGTATTATTATTTTCTTTTATGTCCAGAAGTCATTTGTTTGAATTTATTTTCAGTATGGTGTCATGGGGGGCTTATGACACGTTACAGAGTGTTCAACACTATTTGGATACAGCCCACTCACAGTTGCAGACTGCATGGCACCAGACTCAGAACATCCTCTACAGTTCTATGACTATTGGAGGCCAACAGGTCATACAAGGGGCGTCGTCTAATCAACTTCTATCTCAAGAAGACTTCGTCCCTGCCCAGGCCACACAGTCACATCGGGCGAGACATCGACCGGCTCGCGACATTGGTGGAGGTCGAAGACGCCGTGCCCGTGAACCCGCTGGCAACACTGGGTCTGAGGACGACGCAGAAGGTGATAATTTTTTTTATAAAAAAATGTTTTTTTTTATTTTGTTTTTTTTTTTTATTTTGTCCGAATCTATAATTTGTTTAAAAAATTAATTACTCAGATCAAGAAGAAGAAGTTGTCATGGCGAAATTTTGGCAAACTGCCATCCGCCATTAATAACACTGCTATTTTCACATAATCATGACGCCCTGGTTCAACTTATCCAAGATTTTCGCTATATTAAAAGCCGACAAAATGAGACGGACAATGAAAAGCTTCATATAATCTTGAAATCACGGATCATCGAATAAAAACACATCATTTCCTTTTTATTTATTGTTGTGGATGATAATCATGACAGATTCATTAAAACACACCAAAAGATCAAACAACGTTGATATGTTGGTTCGATTCACTTACTTTTTAAAGTCTTAGTTACTCATTTACTCTTTCAACAAATCTGGAGATCAAGGATTTTTAATGGGTTATTTAAGGGCTGAAAACATACAATTTATTTATCTCGCCACAAAAGAAGAACTAAATTATAAAAGAACATATAACATACAACAATGACAAAATAATTATCAAATTTCAACAAAAGGATTAACCTGATCTGGCAGGCACAGATCGGCAGCAGCAAAAGCTTTGGCGACAGACGGCAACAGCTAGGTCAAGATGTAATGGGGCTACTTATAGTACCATTTGTGACGTAGCTTGATAGCTTTATTGCCAATATTTTTCAGGTGGCCACTATCAGGTTGTTTGATAGTAGCAATCTAGACGGTATTAGTGATGGCACAATCAAACCATATACTTCTAGATAATTTACTTTGTATAAAATCTAAAGTAAGATTGAACACAACACTTGGGAGTTTTTCAATCAATTTTTCCGGTACTTGCTAGTAAATGAGCAGCTGCTACTGCAACAAAGGTGGGTACAAATGCCACTAAAACTTGAGCAACACTGAACATAACACTTGGGAGTTTATGAATCATCATCATGTTATATACTCAATTCTTTTGTCGGCTCACAATTGCACGAAACATAAGCAAGTTGAAATAGTTACTACAGAAGTTGAGGAACATTTGGTTGTCAGAATGCAGACATCAATACTTACTACATAATAAGGCTACAGGCCAATCACTCAGAATCAGAATCCGAAAGGAAGTCAAGCTGACATGCATCGGATCCTCGCTCAAACAATGAAATTCTCTTAAGCGCTTGGAATTTCATTTTCAGATCAATACATTCATACCATAGATCCATCCTCTTCAATACTCGAGAGTTCCTCAAAAAATATCTTACCATGTCAAATTCATGCTCTTTGGACCGCATCCACTTAATTGTTATAGTTCTTAGACAGGATAATAGGCATTTAGGCACTTGTTCGGGCTCCCGACACAACATTCCCCTTCCATGATAACCCTGCTGACACTAAAAGGAGCATAACAAAATGAGTAAAACAAAAGGAGCTATTGTTGTAAGAAAAAACGAGAAACGGCGATATAAACTCCACTTACAATAAGGACTTGAAGATTATCAGCAACTTCAAGGAACTTCACAAGCAAACTCCATTTGAAGTCCAATAGGAGTTGAAGTTTGGTTAAATTATCATACTTTACAGTTGGAAAAGCAACTCCTCTATCAACAAACTGAAAAAATTAACACCACATTAAGCATATATATATAACAACGCCACAAACTAAGAGGCGTAAGAGATTGAAGAATAAAAACATACCTCCTCGAATTCCCAACCTGATATCTTTAGGCACTTTACATGACACAGAGAATGAAGAAACTTCATCAACGTGGAATTGTAACTTTGTAAGCAGATACCCGCCTCAACTAAAGAGACCATGGTTATAGGAACTGTTATACACTCCGAGTCACAGCCATCCACTTGAAGATACCTAAGGGCCGGGGCATTTAGTATCATCCTATATTTAAGGTTAGATGGACAAGTCAAATCGTAAAGATCAAGCTCAAGCGTCTTTATTGTGGGTGATGATATATTTATGCAGCCCGCATAATCATTTTCTTTCACAGATGTGAACGCCATATTCAACTCCTCAAGGGACGGACAGCCGGAGAGAAAGTGAGGGAGAGCTTCATCATTCTCGCACACAACATTAGAAACATGAAACTTCTTGAGGCTAGGCAATGAGACATTACCCACATCAGAGAGTGACGCTCGACAGAAATCAAGCTTCAAGTCGACAATGGTTTTGCAGTTGAAGATGTATCGAGGGAATGTATGCAAGTAAAGTTCGAGATAAATATTCCGGATACTGCGGTCAATGGCGGTTGTAATCAATGTCTCCAGTTGATACTCGTTGCACTTGACGAGATCGAGTGTTAAAGTATCCATTCTTTTTGCCTTGTGCCGCAATATAACCCTATGGATGATGTCTGAGGCTTGTGTTCCTTCTTCCTTGAAATTGGCTCCACTAAAGTTCAAACAGGGTACATGGGCCCATAGAACCTCCATTTTTTTCGGAGAACGCTGGTCTTCACTGAGAGCTTTGTCGGGAGAAAAGAGAGAATGTGGCATATGACGACATCCGGCAAGCTGCTGAGCCTATCGATCGAAGCCATGTTTTGCGCTCCATCCAAAAGCTTTGGGCGCTTTCCACTTGGTTGTCTGGTTTCCTCCATGTAAATGCTGACAAAAGGCACCTGATTTTCACAACTACAAACCAACCAAGGCAGTAGCATTCAGAGGGTACAAGGATTCAGACTATAGTCTGATGGGCAGTTTAATTCCAAGTACAATGCGAAGACGATGATGAGACAAATATGAAAAGGTAGAGACATAAAGTTAACTGTAGAGCATTTATGTAGCAACTAATGTAGCTAAGAAGTCGAAAAGGGCAAGAGAGAAACCTGAAACCTGAAGCCTAAGTACGGAGACTCTTGCAACTCCTATCGCCACATGCTACCAACAATACAACACGAACACAAACACACGAAGACAATACAATACAAACACAAACTAAACAGAAACTACCAAACCCCTGGAAAAAGACTGGATATTTGGAACAGAAATATGAGCAGACAATTAAGGGTAGCCAAAACACATTTCTAAGAAATTGGCCTGTACACTTGTGATAAAACATCGCCATCTTCAACATGCAAAACTTCATCTTCACAAAGCAATATTTTCCTCTGATGTAAAATAAGAGAAGACTCCTACAACAACAGTAAAAGAATTGAAAGAATAAGATGAACAAATAGTAATCCATATGAACTGTGCCCTCCCTCTCATCCATGGCTCAGACACCAATCCGTTAAGGAAGTCCTAAGAAATCTACTGAAAATCTACTCAAATTTCATCACTCACCTCCTAAAATAGCTATAATTTCAGCAATTTAAGAGAAACCCCTGTACCTATTCACTTAAGCTTCCAACCTAGTTTACATGAACCATTTTTTTTTTTTTTTT